GAAGAGAAATTGTGGGAAGCAAAGTTTTGATGATAAAGGGAAAGTAGGATCCAATTAAAACATCAAGAAATAAAACAATACAAGACCCGAGGAAGAAAATTTACTTTAGCATCATAGTGTGAAACAATGATCCTCCTATAGTATACCATGGCATTTTGTCATATGAGCACTTTATTATAGAGTTAAGATAATGTTGTAAGGTGAAGGCGCCTACCTTCTTTATGTAGAGGGTATACTTTCACAGGAAAATTAAGATTACTCATTACCACAGTTCTACCAGTCACCCGGGATATGTTCTTAAAGAGGAATGCAGGATTGTTACTTTTATTTTAGCCTTAGCAGTGAAGGGGATCAAGGTGCTTTAAACAACACATTTCTGTGCTGGAAGTTGAGGACAATTTTTATGGTTGCAGAATATGGCTAGAAAGTGGGGGATCCAGGCAAGTTACCTAGATATTTAACCAGCCCATTTAAGTTGTTTTTTATTACTGTAGCATTGTAGTAAGTTCTGAGACAGAGTAGGAAATGGTGCAGGGCCTGCCAGCCTTGGGAAAGAGGTAGAAGCAGAAGTCTATGCTTTGAAAACTGGACTTCTGAACTTGTGTATTTCCATTTTTTATTCTTAATATTTGAGAAGCCAGGGAAATTAGGCAGAAAGAAATAAAGGCATCCAAATTGGAAAGAAAGAGGTAAAACAATCTCTATATACAGATGACATAATCTTTTAAATAGGAAAAACTCTGAAGAAAACACAAAATACCTGTTAAATCTAATATACAAGTTCATGAAAATTGTAGGATATAAGATCAATATTAAAAAATCAGTTGCATTCTGCACACTAGTAATGAACAATGCTAAATTAAAATCAAGAAAACAATTCCAGTTACAGCTTCAAAATGGATATAATACTTAGGAATAAATTTGATCAAGGAAGTGCATGATGTGTACATGAAGAACTACAAAATATTGTGGAAAGAAATTAAAGGCACCCTAAATAAATTGAAAGACATCCTGTGTTCATGGATTGGAAGACAATTTTGTTAATATGGCAATGTTCCCCAAATTTATCTGCATATTTATTATGACCCCTATCAAACGCCAAATGCCTTTTTCCTTTTTTTTTTTTGGTAGAAATGAACAAGCTGATCCTAAAACTCATAAGGAATTTAAAGGACTGGGAACAAACTTGGAGGACACATACTTTCCGAAGTCAAAACTTACTCTAATGCTATGGTAGTCAAAAGTGTGATACTGACATGAAGAAAGACCTATAGATCAATGGTATAGAATTGAGAGTCCAGAAATAAACCCATACATTTGTGGTCCATTGATTTCTGAACAGTGCCAACACCATCAAATGGGGAAATAGTCTTTTCAAGAAATGGTGCTTGTAAATGAATGAATATGGGACCCTACTTCATACCATACACAAAATTTAACACAGGATGGATCAAAAGCTTAAATGCAAGAGATAAAATTATAAAACCCTTCATACAGGTATACATTTTTGTGACCTGGGGTTTGGTAACAGATTCTTAGATATGTCACCAAAGACACAAACAGAAAAGGATACTATCAAGAAAGTTAAAAGACAGCGCATAGAATGGGAAAAATATTTTGCAAATTATCACACCTGATAAGGGACTTGTATCTAAAATATATACATGTCTTACAACTCTGTACTAAAAAGACAATACAAGTAAAAAATGGGTTAAGTCTTTGTTAGACATTTCTCCAAGGAAGTTATCCAAATCACTAATAAGCACATGAGAAAATGCTCAACATCACTAATTATTAGAGAAATGCAAATCAAAACTACAATGAGTTATCACCTCACACTGGTCAGAATGGCCATCATCAAAAAAATCTACAAACAATAAATGCTGTAGAGGGTGTGGAGAAAAGGGAAAGCTCTTGCACTTTTGGTGGGAATGTAAACTGATACAGTCACTATGGGGAACAGTATGGAGGTTCCTTAAAAAACTAAAATTAAAATTACCATATAACCCAACAATCCCACTACTGTGCAAATACCCAGAGTAAACCATAATTCAAAAAGATACATGCACACCAATGTTCATTGCAGCACTATTTTCAATAACCAGGTCATGGAAGCAACCTAAATGCCCATTGACAGATGGATAAAGAAGACGTGGTACATACATACAATGAAATATTACTCAGCCATAAAAAGGAACTAAATTGGGTCATTTGTAGAGACATGGATGGACCTAGAGACTGTCATACAGAGTGAAGTAAGTCAGAAAGATAAAAACAAATATCATATATTAACACATATATGTGGAATCTAGAAATATGGTACAGATGAACCTGCTTGCAAGGAAGAAATAGAGACACAGATGTACAGAACAAACATATAAACACTAGGAGGGAAAGGGAGGTGGGATGAATTGGGAGATTTGGATTATACACTAATATGTATAAAATAGATAACTGATGAGAACCTGCTGTATAGCACCGGGAACTCTACTCAATGCTCTCTGGTGACCTAAATGGGAAGGAAATCCAAAAAAGAGGGGATATATGTATACATATAGCTGATTCACTTCAATGTACAGCAGAAAATAACACAACATTGTAAAACAAATATAACCCAATAAAAATTTTAAAAATAATAAATAAAAGACAATCCATAGAATGGGAAAAAGTTTTGCAAATTATTACATCTGATAAGGGACTTGTATCTAAAATATATACATGTCTTACAACTCAGCACTGAAAAGACAGCCCAAGTAAAAAATGGGTTAAGACTTTGTTAGATACTTCTCCAAAGAAGTTATCCAAATCACCAATAAACACATGAGAAGATGCTCAACATCATTAGGGAAATGCAAACAAAAATTACCATGATTTTGATCACCCCCAAATCACCCCACTAGGATTTCTATAATAAAAAAGACAGACAATAACAAGTGTTGGCAAGGATGTGAAGAAATTAGAACACTCACACATTGCTGGTGAGAATACAAAACGCTGAAGCCACTTTGGAACTGGAAGTTCCTCAAAAAGTTAAACATAGAATTACTAAAATAATCCAGTGGTTCTACTCCTAGGTATATAACCAGGAGAAATGAAAACATACATGTACACAAAAACTAGTACATAAATGTTCATAGCATTATTCATAATTGACAAAGCATGGAAACAAATATTCTTCAACAAACAATGTAGTACAATATATTATTCAGCCACAAAAAAAATGAAATACTGATACATGCTACAACATGTGTGAACATGAAAAATTATGCTAAGTGAAAGAAGCCAGACACAAAAGGCCACGTGTCACATGATTCCATTTATATGAAGTATCCAGAATAGGCAAACCCATAGAGACAGAAAATAAATTAACAGTTGCCAGAGATCAGTGGTGGGGCTGGTTGGGGGGAATGAACAGAGACAGCTAACTGGTACTTTGTTTCTTATTTTGGTGATGAAAATATTCTGTAACTAGATAGTGGATAGTGATAGTGGTTGCACAACATTGTGAATATAGTAAAACCACTGAATTGTATATTTTGAAATGGCTAAAATGGTGAATTTTATGTTATGTTTATTTTGTCTCAGTGCAAAAATATTTTTAATGTCTTTGTGAACATCACAATAGAAAAAAAATGAAGCATTATAATATTTCCCTAATTACATTTTTGGAGTTATAACAAACTACAATAATCTTTGAAAAGAATTTTTATTAAGATAAATCCAGTAAAATTTTGTGAATACACATATTGTCAGAACTGCCCTTCTGAAATTAATATTTGTATTTCTTTTAAAAATGGAATTACAATTTTATTTTTTCCCAAGCTAATATCAAAGTTATATTTGGGAAAGATAATTCTAATTCTTAGCATTACATGAAAATAGTTCACCTTCTTTATAAAAGTAACCTAGAGAACCACAAGAATGTTTGAGGAAACTCTTTTGGGATCTCCCCATTTTGTGAAATTATCATATATAGGAGTAAAATTAAAAGTCAAAGATTTAACACATAACTTACAGAAAAAGTGTATTCACTGACAAAGTTGAAAACATATTTTTTTTCTATATATTCCACTATTATAATTACAAAATTTATAGATAAAGGTTTCATGTTAGGAACTTTGTGACTATTAACCAGTATGAAGATGTTTTGAAATTAAATTGATACTAAAGAAAAGTTGTGTTTATAAAATATTTGATAAAAATATTCATCTCTCTTAACATTGCAACATGAAGGTACATATTACCAAATTATGAAACCATATAGGGCAGCTTTAAACAACAATCTGAAACTCTACTTTTTTTCCATCTTCTTTTTTGACCTCTTTTCTTTCGGCTGTTTCTTTTCCAATTTCAGCCTTGCTTTCATCTTCTTTGCCATCTCCTCCATCTTTCCTGTCTCCTTTTCCATTTTCTTCCTCTTTTCCTTCTTCCTTTTTTCCATCTTCTCCTTTCTCTTTTTCATCTTCCTTCTCATTTACACCTTTATCCCCCTTTCCATCTTCATCCTCTTTTCCATTTCCTTTCTCTTTTCTATCATCTCCCTTTTTTTCATCTTCTTTATCTTTACCATCTTCAGATTCTTTTCCATCTTCTCCTTTCCCCTTTCCATTTTCATTCTCTTTTCCATTTCCTTTCTCTTTTCTATCATCTCCCATTTTTTCATCTTCTCCTTTATCTTTTCCATCTTCAGATTCTTTGCCATCTTCTCCTTTCCCCTTTCCATTTTCATTCTCTTTTTCATCTCCTTTCTCTTTTTCATCTTCTCCCTCTTTGCCATCTTCTCCTTTCCCTTTTCCATCTTCACCCTCCTTTTCATCTCCTGTGTCTTTTTTGTCTTCTTCCTCTTTTCCATCTTCTTTTTTTCCACCTTCATCTTCTTTTTCATATTCTTTCCCTCTTCCATCTTCTCCTTTCTCTTCTTCCTTGTTTTGATCTTCTCCATCTCCTTTCTGATCTTCTTTTTCATCTTCTTTTCCTTCTGCTGCCACTGTTCCTTTCTTCTCTCCTCTTTCTTCTTTGATATCTTCAACTTTTTCTTCTTTTATTTCCTCTGTTTCTTTTTCAGGAGCTGGTGTCTATATGTATAGAGAAAAAAACCAAGATTATATTTGTAAATTTGGAACCATTTCCCCTAAATACTTAGGATTATATCTGTTTTATGGAAAAAATAATATTTCATCTATAAGAAAGTAATTTTCCTGTGGAAAAGGCCTCCTAAATAACACATCATAAGGAAACCTTATAAGTAATAGGATTAATTAAAGTATCTCCACACAAATATGCACAAACAGATATTTGGAACAATACATTTGGGGAAACGTATTCATATAAATAATTTTCATTACAAATATGAGGAAACAGAGTAAATACAGAAAAAATGAGTAGCATGCATGTAAACAAATTATATTCCTTGAAGAAATAATACATTTTATTTCTATAATGGTAAGATTTAGGTTTACTTTGTAAAAAGTTACTTGAAAAGTCTTCTATCATATATCATAGGATCACTTACAAAAGACTTTCCCTACATGCATAGGTCTGGTTTATAGATTTGGCACTAAATCCCATTTTCATTTTTTTAACTACAATACCTAGAAACATGGTATGCTAAATATGTAAAGCAAGACCTATTGGAAATATACATAATGATTTGTTTTGCAATCTGAAGAGGAAAGAAGAATCATATATGATCTTGAAAAGATATTTACAAATAGCCCATGTGCTGACAAAAGCAATAGAGGATTGGTCTGTATTTAATAAGACAGTCATTAGATTATTAATAAGTCATAATCTCTGGCATTGTTCTATTAATATCAATGCTAACACACTGTTCCCACTACCCATACCTGTAAATTCTCAATTGTAATTTGTTTTCTTTCTTTTCCCCTTATATACCATTATACTAAATGCTATAAACAGAATGTTTGTGTCCTCCAAAATTCAAATGATGAAACCAATTTCTAATGTGATGATATTTGGAGGTGGGGCTTATGGGAGGTGATTAGGTCATCAGAGTAGAGCCCTCATGAAAGGGATTTATGTCCTTATAAAAGAGGCCCCAGAGAGCTCTCTCACCCTTTCTATCATGTCAGGACACAGCAAGAAAACTGCCATCCATAAACCAGGAAGCAGGTCCTCATCAGACACCAAAAATGCTGGTGCCTTGATCTTGGATTTCCCAGCCTTCATAACTGAGAAATAAATTTCTGTTGTTTATAAGCCACCCATCTGTGGTATTTTGTTACAGCAGCCTGGACAGACTGACACTATAGAGCCATACTCATTTAATGTTTCTCAATGTTTAAACTACAAGACAAACAAGATTTCTTCCAGTGGCACCCATTGTTAAACTTTCAAATGGACAAAACTGTTAATATTGGAAGATACCTCTATAATGTTAGCTTCTCCATTTTCAGCAGTTTCACTGTTGTATTCTTCTTTAACAACTTCTTTCTTGGTTTCAGCTATGGCTTTGGCACTTGCATCTGTGTTTTGTTCCATCGTATCATTTTTTGTCTTCATTTTCTGTCCAGCAACACAAAACAATAAAAAAAATTACACAATTTAACTGATGTGTCGATTAAATGGCCTATTGTTTTACCAGTTGTTGTAATAATTTACGGAAAAGCTTTAAAATATCCATATAAACTTAATATCAACAAAATTATCGCTTGACACCTTCAGTGTCATTATAAACCTGAAATGGTATTAAAATGAATAATATTCCTGATATGAATCAAAGAAAGTTTCTTTTAAGTGAGAAACAACAAGTTAGAATGCTGACCAGTGGCTACTCAGGGCCAATTGCTAGCATCAGGTTACACTTTGATAAATTAACTTTCTTTGACTAGAGGGGACCAGTTTATCCCTGTCATGTCTAATAATTAGCAACAGGGTTTTTGACTGCTGAGCCTCCATTGGTAATAATTAAGAGAAATACTATGTTAGGGAGAGCAGCAATTTAGATGTATTTGAAAGAGGTCACCTGTGGACATTAGTGATTCAATATTTGGGTCTACAAGTTTCTGAATGACTTAAATCATAATTTCTTTACCAAGAAAGCTCTTTGCCTAAGTGTGTATGTAATACAAAGAGCACTGGGTTCAGCATCCAGCAAACATGTGTTTTAAATCTGGATCTGTTTCTTACTTGATGTGATCTTGATCAAAATCAGAAATCTCTTTGTGTTTATTTCTTCATATGTAAAAGAGAGTAATACCACCTACCTACAGGGATGTAATAAGGAGCAAATGATAAAATATATGTGAAATTACTTTAGAAACTGTAAAATGCAATATAGATATGTTATTATTCTTTGAATACATGAGAAACTGAGAGCCAAGGAGTGTAAAGTATTTTAAAGTCCATGATTATATATTATCTGTTTTATTCTATCACTGTCTTTTATTTTGAAAGGAAATAAACAGTGTTTACTATTTTAACAACTTATAAATTGAGTACTTAATTTTATATATAGTGACCAGGAAATGCAAAATAGAGAAAAACCAAAAAGAACTTTTCTCTTCAGTTGTCACTTACTATGATTACTAAACCTATGGCCATAGTTTTAGCAATATCTTTTTTGGGCCTCTCACTGTTGTGGCCTGTCCCGGTGTGGAGCACAGGCTCCGGACGCGCAGGCCCAGCGGCCACGGCTCATGGGCCCAGCCGCTCTGCGGCACGGGGGATCCTCCCAGACCGGGGCACGAACCCGCACCCCCTGCATCGGCAGGCGGACCCTCAACCACTGCGCCACCAGGGAAGACCCGCCCCCTCCTAGCTTTAACATTTTATGATGTTAAGAATTCAACTTATCCTTAAAACATCAATCATACCTCAATAAACCAGTTCTAAAAATGAAATACGATCATATTATATTCACACATATTTACACATAAATAAATAAATATAAATATAGGGGAAAAAGTGAACTTAATATTGAGGCTATTTCTAATGTCTTTAACCACAACATTAGAGTACAGAAGCCTATATGAGATCAACTATGTGAATTCGAGAATAATGTATGTGAAAGCACTTTGCAAACTGTAAAGTATTATCAAATGTTAGTTACTATTATTATCACAAAGCATTACTTTTGTTACTAGAGTTTACACCTTTTGTTTCCCCAGGAGTACTGGTATTATGACTATATGACGTCAAAAGCACGTATGTTTTATGGATCTAGCTAGCTAAAATTTTGTTTTGTCTCTTCCTAATGAAAATGCAGAAACATAGCAGACAACCACAGAGCACAAACAAATATTTCTGACTCTAAGGGCTGACATGTACCATATGGTATAATGTATAATGTAATATATCACTAACTGAAAAGAAAATAAAGCAAAATGATGAACTGTATGCCTTTCTGAAAAACTATTTCTGAAGAAAAACAAGTTTCTCTCAACATTGCATGCTGAATATTTACCCTTGGAGTTGATGTTCTTTTGGACTTCAACTCTGGTGTAATGGGCACAGGCAACTGGGGGAAAAGAAGGAAGAAACCATAATTGAAGATAGATCACTAACAATGAAGTTCAGCCTCGTAATTAAAATAAATGGGTATAGTTCAAACTGAACACTAAGATAAAAACATTTCCTTGGTCAGAAAGTTTCTTAAAACATCAAAAACAAATCTTGTATTAAATAACTAGTATTGTCTAGGATTCTCTGAATTTTAAAATTACATTTTACAATACATGGGCAGCTTTTTAAAAAGACTACTTACAGCAGACAGTCTGGCTGATCTTCTCTTTGGCTATAAGTTAAAAATAATTATCAGTTAAGAGAATTATGGATACACAAAACTAGAAATATTTATATTGTGGTGAAAATATTTAGTGTAACACTAAGTACATATTGTCATTAAGAAGCATTGTGTACTTGATTTAAAAAATATCGTAGGGGCTTCCCTGGTGGCACCGTGGTTGAGAGTCCGCCTGCCGATGCAGGGGACACGGGTTCGTGTCCCGGTCTGGGAAGATCCCACGTGCCGCAGAGCGGCTGGGCCCGTGAGCCATGGCCGCTGAGCCTGCGCGTCCGGAGCCTGTGCTCCGCAACGGGGGAGGCCACAAGTGAGAGGCCTGAGTAATATATCTATATCTATATATATATATATATATATCATAGTAAAAATATACGTTTTGATTTTTCCCTCCTCTGGACCCTTCATACAACTAAGGAAAAAAGAATCCCAAATTAAATTTCAATTGCTAGGCTAAATGAACACAAAATGGCTAGTAACAAGGAGTATATTTAGAAATGAAAATACAGCCCCTTCTTGCAAACTAACAAAGGAATTCTTTGGCTTAAAAGGAAGAAGCTCTCTCCAGATCTTAAGCACAAGGTCCTAAGTTCCATAGAGTTTGGAGTTTTCAATATCTACTATATTTCTGAGAGAGCTCACTGGCATACCATATTGGTACTCATATGGTACAAATATTAACCAGCATTTAGTTTTTAGCTGCTTATGTGTCAAGTTTATAAACCAAGTGAATTTTTTCAGATCCTCAAACTAAAGAAACTTACCTCCTGCCTCATATCACCTTGATCTGCAGCCTATACAGGGGAGAAAACCACACAGAAATAAGGTCATCGATATAAACATATACTGATGTATCCAAAAATATTGCCTATAGATTGCAGTTGCAATATAACAGCTTTACTTTTTCCTGGATTCCTGCTCAAGTAGCCACGTGTTAATGCCTAGTAGCCTGCTGTCTACTAAAGTGCAAATTTGCACCAAGATGCAAATGAATTCCCAAGACATAAGTTTATACAACTGATAGTCAATTTCATCCTTTTGTGTAAATTGCATTTCCTAAAAACAAACCTTTTTTAATTTTAAAATCCACCTGTTGTAGCCAGGGTTAAAGCCAAAAAGTGTGGGAGCGGGCAGAATGAAGGCGGAGCTTCATGCAATTTCCCTGTCCGTTTAGCTTTATGCTCGAGATGCAATTGTACTTATCTGATCCTCTCTTCTAAATGGACTATTCTCCCCTCCAAGTTGTGCATACAACTACAACCCCCACAATGCCCTGGTGTGGGGGAACCCTCTTTGTTACAACGTCAATGCGTTATTCTGAGAAGCCGGCTGCGGATTTTAAAACTTCCCGCCACTACTTGCTACAAGGTTGCTGTCAGCTATGTAAAATAGCAAGACCCATTGCACAAGCCTAGAAAAGCGCAGCGGCGGGAATCTCAGGCAGGGGGATGCTGATTAGAAACCATTGCTTTCCGTATCTGAGCAGCCCTTTAGCCTGGGAATTATCGAGCTATTGCACGAGTCATACAGCCCCAGAGGACCGGGGAATTTCTGTCTTATTCCTATGTTCTAAAAATATGGAAGGCGGACGAATAGATAGGAATAGTACCAAAACAATCATAACGCCTTACTTAGCACAGTGTTTTACAATTTTATCAAGCAACGAAACAGCGATCGATTTCACTTCTAAGGGAACTTCCCCCCCAAAAAACAACAACAACAACAACAACAACAATAACACCGAGAGTGAATTTATTTCGCGTCCAAGAGAGAAACCACGATCTTTTAAGTGAGGGTTTGCAGGAGACTTGTAGCCCTTGAATAGCTCATATCAATTCTGCGCGTCTAAAGTAAACAAATCCATGCTACCCTAACATCAGCAATAGTTTATCTGACGCATTTCTCTTGTCATCCTTCCATCTTTAGACAGTGAGTGAGCTTGGAGAGTCCCAGATCTCTCAGCTCCAAAGTTGCTAATTACAGCTGTGAATCTCTCCCTTCTCTAGGACAGTTTGAAGTCTGCGCCGCCTAATGGCACAGGATTACCATTGCATAGCCATCTGGCATGACAAGAAGCAGAGGAGGGAAAAAAAGGAAAAAGAAAACGGGAAGAACAAAGGCAAATACGGGAGAAAGCCATGGCTTTCGTTCCCCCAAACTGGACGGTTCCCGGAGAAAAGCTGGAGGCTGAGGAGGAAACTAGTGCCTGTAAGTGTGGTTGGGAGAAGTCTTCTCCAATAGGGTAAACGGAGGAAGGGGGGGTGGGGTAGGAAGCGACAGTACAGCGCTATGACTGTTTGTAATTCAGCATGGAGACAACTCTCAAGTGATTCTTATCCTTAAACAAAACAAGCCAAAAGTGAACTACTAGTTGCGTGAGAGACCATCCTCATCCTTACACCAACCGATACCTGCCCTTCCCTCCCCTTACATTCAGCACATCACAAAATCAAACTAGAAGCCAAAATACTTTTAAAAAAATCTCTCCCGATTGGGAAATATGTATTTCAGTCTCTAATCCCCCTTCTATCTTCCTGTTTCACTTACCTTTCTTTTGGGCATTGTTGCAGCTCTCTAGAGGAGATATTAACAGCAGGAAAAAAGCCGAAAGCAGTCTCTACCCGACCGCTCAGAGAGCAACTGAGTTTTCATTGAATGAACTAATTGCAGCACGACCTGTGCTCGCCTCCAAAAAAAAAAAAAAAAAAATCCCTCGTTATTGGCAACATTAAACGCTCCAGACGCAACCAAACTACGTGAATGGTTAGCAGGAGTGGGAGCCAAATTGGAGTGACAGGCTGTCAGGCCAATAAGGGGAGGCGACTATCCCAGGGGGCGTGGCCCACGGACTTGCCCGAAGCCCTCGTTGCCAGCTCCGACCGCCGGTGGGGTAGAGGAGCCCCCAGACTTCGTGGATGCAAAGTGCTGAAGCATAAAACCGACGGGAAAGCTGGAATTGTCTTGATTATTTTTTTGTTGTTGTTTTTGTTTTTGTTTTCCTTTTATGTAGTAATGACAGGCGAAAGTCATTGCACTTGCTTTCTCCACGGTCTCTGAAAGCCCCACTTTACTTCCTCGAGACAAAGTGCTTTAGAGACATTATTGAGCTTGGGCTCCAGTCTTTCCATTCTACCTTTGGCAGAAGGATGTAGATGAACTGAGAGGAGCACTCATTCAGAAAGTAGAAAAGAGTGGAGCTGTTTCTCAGGTTGTGGGAACTTTCCGCCAAAGCAGAATTGTAGTACTGGCAGGATCAGGGTGCCAAACGGCGCGTCTCCCGCAGATGGAGAGCAAGAAACTGGGAGCTGTAAGAGCAGGAGGAACCTGAAGGTGGAGACATTTGATAGATACCTTTATCCCACTTGGTGGTAGTCCACCAGGAATTCAATGGGACCCCGCGTGAGGTTTGTAATACCAGAGGTCTATCCTGAGGAAAAGTGCTGATACAATGGATTATGAATCCAAAGGTGGCATTTAGTGAAGGAACTAGGGAAGGTGCCATACATGAAAGTGTTTGGGAATCAAGTGCCTGGACTCGGATAAAGCAATTAAAGCACTCACCTCTGGTGAAAATTTAAGGATGTGCCCCAGACTCAGGAGACTGGGATGAGGCAATTGAGGTGAATCATGCAAGTGCAGGGCAGGATCTTGATTTTATTTAAAATTGATATTTTGTTCATCATGGACGTTTTTTGCATTAGTTAGGTCTTTAAAATAGTGCTTTAAAAATTTATCTTCATTATCGAGTTTTGGGGTGCCTCTTATAACTTGTGCCTAAGGAGAGTGCCCCCTAACATCACTCTAGTCCTAGGCATCATTAGGTGGCTTTCTACTCTAAAAGAGGCTTCTATCTGCGTTCCCAAGTTAGTTCCTGAGACCTAAAATTTGTGAGACTGGGGGTGGGGATTCGTGAATGAGGTACTTGATATTTATGTGTAAAAATGTAGGACCCTGAAGCACCTTTTCAGAATGCCTTACTTTGGATTTTGTAACACCTAATTGGGTTTAAACTTGTTTCAACCACAGCCGAAATCCTTATGCTGGAAGGTCAATCAAAAAAAGGAAGTTAACCCTTTGAACAGTTACTTAAAGGAATAAACTCATTTGTGTTCATGTGGATTAAAACATTGCAATCATTAGTTTTAAAAATATTCATAGCTGTTTTAGAATACCAAACCATCCCTTCAAACTAAAATACAGCCTAATGGAAGAACCTATCATTTTTACCTTTACACATTCTTCCCCAGCACCTACAGTGTGGAATTAAACAGATTAGGTAGTAGAGAATGTTTGCAGCTCAATTTCCCTCCTCCAACCTCATATTACATTCTGATTCAAGTAGGTAAATCAGAAAGACATTTAAATTGCTTCCTTTTCCCACAGTTATTGGGATCATCCCTAGATTCCCTAGATGCCTCTTTAACTCTTATGGTGAAGGCATTACTGGGAGAGCCTAGATATGTTTCAATCATTTTCTTTTCCAAGAGTTAGAAGGTAAACATAAAATTTGGGTTCCATATAAGGATTGCTTCATAAGGATAAGGAGAAACATGAAGAGAATGAAAAATGTGTCAACACTGGAAGACACTCAGCAAATTCGTATTTAGCATTATTTTGTGAGTTGGATTTTGTTTTTATAGACTAGCCTATGAAACTGCAAAATGCTGTGGTATGCAAAGTTGCCTTACATGGTTTCTGCCCTTAAGAATTTATATAATTGTGTAGGATAAAGCAAGCAGATACAAACATTTGTAAATCAAGGTTGCTTGCATCATGTGAGTGGTACAATATAAGTTCAATAATAAAACAGATGAGAACTATGGTTTAGGACTGAGATCACTGGAGAAGGATTTTGTTGAGGAGGTAGTATTTGACTTGGCTCTGAACCATTGGATAGACTATTATAGAAAATGCAGAGGCAGGAAAACTTTGTAATTTTTCAGGGAACAGAATGACTAGTCCAGGTGGATTGAAATAAATGATCGTGAGGAGTCTTGGGAGGTAAGGCTTAGTCTGGAGGCAAAGAAGAAACGTGCAGGTCAGTGTGGTCTAAGATTCCTCTTAAGTTTGTGAGCAATTTTCTTTTTTGGTCCATTTCCCTTCCTTGCAGTCTAACCTGTTGCATCTGTGATTTATGTCCTATCAGATTGAAACAATAGTCATGCATGCATACAAAAATTTTCTAAGGTTGAAACATTTCTCTAATTCCTGACCCCCACCACCATGTTCTTTTTTCCAACCATTAACCAGGATAGTCTTTTGTAGAAACCAACCTGCCCTAGGCTTTTTGCCTTTGCTATATTTTTACCTCTGATTGCAGCCCCATTGTCTTATATCTCTGCTTATCAAATGTCTATCAAACTGTTCAGACCCATCAAATATCACTTCTTTGACAAAAGCCTTATCCAATCATTTCAGTCCTAAAAGATTCTATCTTATTACACTATACAATTTAAATTGTACCACTCATATGACACAAGCAAGCTTTGATATTTTCTATTTTCTCCCCAACCACTCAGTCATATAACTTCACGTTGATTTAAAATTTTATATACTTATTTCTCCTTACCTAAATATTTTCTTAGCACATTACGCTCTACATATCTCCTATAGAATTTACTAACTTTAAAAACTATTTTTCTAAAATTGATAAATTATTCCTTAAGTAATTTTTTTGGTATAATTGTCAAAGTGAGAATTTTTTTTGGCTCATTAAAAAAATACATTGGCTTATTTCTCTTTTTTTTTAAAGTATAATTTCCACTTCATTGTCTTTCCAGGGAACAGTATTTCTTTAGTCTTTAAGGACTTAGCTCCTTACATGGGCTTTGGTGAAGGTCGCGGGGCTGCACCTGCAGGTTTAAATCAGGATGGAGTTGTTCGGTCCTTCCGGGCTTTCCGAGAACGATTCCTGACTACCTTGCTGTGAATGGCACAACTCACGCAGTAATGCAGTTTCACATACAGCTTGGGAAGCACATAGGCATTGAAAACAATCGCTTCGGAAATGTCCCTAAAGGCTGTGGCCTCTACGATGTTCCGAATGACGAACTTCTTAATAGCCTTATCCTAGGGCACGCAACGGGCACAGTTGGTACAGCGAATAGGCTGCACGTGGCCACGGCCCTTTTTGGCACGACCATTGTTCCTTCTTTTCTTGGTCATCTTGGAAGCGAGGAGGCGACAGAGGAGCTATTTCTCTTTTTTAAATTATTTATTCATGACTATGAAGGTTAATTGCTGGATAATTCTCTACAGGGCTCTCTAATTTCTCCTGGGTATTAAGAATGCCTACTGCCATCCACAAAACTTACAGGAACTGTAGCATGCCCATTTAGTAACCACTGGGAAATGACACAGGAAGATATGAACAATTATAAAGGAAGGACACCAACATTAAACTGTTTGAGACAGAGAATCCAAAAGAAAGTAGTATTTATGAGAAAACGGATGTTAGGCAGTTAAGGTAAAAGAGGTCATCAAATGTTCTATATATTCTAGCTTAAAATGATATATATGTTGCATAATTCAAAGTGTTTCTCCATATACAGCTTTGCATGCAATGGGATCTCAAAGATACTGATTGATTAGTAATGAATATCTTCTTTTCCATATTAAATTATGTTTAATTTTGGCCTCATCCATTACCATTATTATTATTATATTTCTAAAAAATGAAAAAACGTCAGAAAACTACCTACTATTGTTTGAAAATAATGAGGTAAGGCTTCCATTATATAATTAAAATCTGTGTTTTAAATACATTGTCACTTGGTATTTTCACAGGGAAAAATAAATGGTAAGACTACAGTGAGCCAAAATACATAAATACACTTATTTTGAGCCTTATATAAGATTGATCTGAGGAATTTGCTTAGATTGATGACAGCACTTACCTGAGACTCTGGAAAAATTATAATACTGAAGACCCAAAGCTTCCCATATCCTATGTTTATTTACAGTAGGCTAGAGATTAATAAAATAGTGAATTATTGAGCGATCCCCAATATGAAGGATCTGGAAAGTATGTTTCCAAAGGTAAAAATAAATGAGGCTGCTTTCTAGGGGAAAAAGGAATATAATACAATTATTTGATTTTAATTGTAAAATGTCTACCTATTTTTAAAATAATTATTTGAGGAAATCCTATATTTAGGCTCTCAGACCTTAAAGCTTAAAGGAGGCTGTTGAAGATTTTTTAGTTTAATCCCCTTGGAATACAGATGAATAAATAGTCCAGGGAGTTAAATGACATGCCCAATATCATCTATTGAATGCACAACAGACTTTTTTGGTTTTGTACTAAAAAATGTATCTATGGTTGTGATATTAACAATTACACAACTTATACAGAAATGTTAGTAACTATGTGGCATATTTGGTAAATACAAATTTTGTTCAATTGCTGGCCATCAGCCTACTTCAGATAGCTTTTTTATGCTTATTCACTGGATCCTCCATTCATTTATAATCTTAAACTTGAATTCTCTAGTAAGTTTCAATTAACTCAAGAAAGTAGAAAACTTAGGGAAGAGAAATTCTACTTTCACGTTTTCTTCTTTTTCCTTTTTAGTCTAAGGTAATTCCAAGGAATGTGGGTTTTTCTCCTAGAACTTGACAAGTACTTGCCTATGCTGTCCTCTTTCTTTTG